TGGGGTGCACACACAGTGGCAGGAGACTTGACCTTGGGGGAGACACACAATACAATACACAGATCATGTGTTCTACAAGTGTGTACGTGAAACCTATATAAGTTTATTAACCAACTAGAGGCTCAGTGCATGAAATTCATGCAAGAGTAGGCCTTCCTTTCCTGGCTGCCGGCACTGGCTTCCCTCCCAGAGAGAGGCCCTGCCCACCCACCATAGCCTGCTGGTTAGTGGCCTGGGCCTCCCTCTTCGGGGTGATCATGGGGCAATGACCAGGCCCCTGACCAATTGCACTGCACCCGCCTCGGCTGGCCTGGCGCCGCTGGGTGTCTAATTAGCGCATTATGCTTTTATTATTATAGATGTCACCTAAATAAATTCAATTAAAAAAATTTGCCCTAACTGATTTGGCCCATCGACTGAAGGGTCCCGGGTTTGATTCTGGACAAGGGCACAGGCCCGGGTTGCTGCTCCATCCCCAGTATGGGGCATGCAGGAGGCAGCCGATCAATGATTCTCATCATTGATGCTTCTATCTCTCTCCCTCTCCCTTCCTCTCAGAAATCAATTTAAAAAATAAATAAATAGAATAAAAAGAAAAAGTCTTAAATTTTTTTTTTTAATATTGTATAAGCCTTGGCCCGATGGTTCAGCCTCATCCCGTGCATCACAATGTTGTGGGTATAATTCCTGGTCAGGGCACACGCCCAGGTTGCTGGTTCGATCCCTGGTCTCGGATCGATGTTTCTCTGTCCCGTCCTTTCTCCCTAAACACCAATAGGCACATATCCTCGGGTGAGGGTTAAAAAGCTTTCTGAAGGTGGTACAAGCCTGGAGACCACAAGCAGCCACCGGCCCCTGGCCAACTGCAGAACGCCGGCCACGCACCACGCCCGCCGGTGGGCCCGCAAGCACCCTCCCACCCGCTCCGGCAGGAGCCCGAGGCCTCAGGCCGCCTCTGGGTCTGACTGGCTCCCCGAACTCCAGCGCCTGCTCACGACCGACCGCATCTGAGGCTGGCTTCCTCACCTGACCCAAACCTGCTGCCCCTCTCCCAGCGGAAACAGAGCGAGACGCTAGCTGCAAGAGGCTTCGCCATTTAGACCCACGGCGCAGGGGGTGGCGGCTTTACTGCCATTTGGTGAACGGGCTGGCTGGGGCTCTGCTTTAGGGGAGCCTGGCTTGCACCCCCTGATCCTCACAGTCTCCCCTCAGTGCTGAGAAAACAGCATGAGGAAGAGGGACTGTTTGGCCACAAACAGACAAACCACCTCTCCCCGCATCCACAGAGGATTCCCTAGGCACCCCTGGGGGCGTACTCGCCTGCTGCTCCATCCCAGATTGGGGCGGAGGGGAGACAGGGAGGGAGGGCTGGCAGTCACTGCTCCTGTCACCGTCACCGTCACCATCACCGTGCAGCGATCTTGGCCAGAAAAGAGCCCGCAGTGTCGCCACTTACGCGACGCGTCTCCCACACGGTGGTTCCTCTCCGAGCAGCCGGCCCTTGCTGCATCAGCTCAGACGTGTATGTGTAAGGCTCCCCTTGCAGCTGCCCACAGACAACCTCTATGTCCGCCATTAGGGAACGAGGTAAATAAGTGAGAGCACATCCATTCTATTTAACACCAGGCAAAGGATGAAGCAGGGTTAGATGTGCGTGTAAATGAGGTAGGTTTCTGTGACGGCCTCTAGGACAGTGCTAAGAACAAGTCATATGTGGGAGAGTGTATATAGTATGTTTTTGGTTTTGTTTGTTTGGTGAATCCTCACCCGAGGATATTTTTCCATTGATTTTAGAGAGAGTAGAAGAGAGAGTGAAAGAGAGAGAAACATCAATGTGAGAGAGACACATCGATTGGCTGCCTCCTGCACGTGCCCCGACCAGGGCCCAGGCCGGGGAGGAGCTTGCTACCAAGGTACATGCCCTTGACCGGAATCGAACCCAGGACCCTTTGGTCCACAGGCCAACGCTCTATCCACTGAGCCACACCAGCTGGGCTCTAATATGTTTTTGTTGATGGCAAAAAAGAATGCATGCAAAGCATAGAATGTATGGATGACACACCAAATCCTGTGAACAGTTTCTCCCGGTGGGAGACTGGTGTCTCAGTCTGTTCCTGGGTTAGCATTTGTATATGTGCTATTTCTTCCAGTTAAATGGGGGGAAATAAACTTGGGCTCAGCTACATTTCTCAACTCTGTCCACCTTTCAATTTCCAGAGTCTCGCCTCTGCTTTCTTCCCAAGCAGCTCTGCCCCACCCCAGCCTGGGGCCTGTTTCCACCCGGCCCGCCTCTGGGGCAGCTACCCTCCGCTCTGTGAGGACCAGGCCCCCTCCTGCCGCTGCGGGGTCTCACACGCTGGGAGCAGGGACTCTGCCCGGTGGTGCGAGCCAGCTCTGGGCTTGGTTCCCTGTGAAGTGCTAGAAGGAGGGGCAGTGAAACACCAAGCTTCAAAGACACCAGGATTTCCCAAACTTGCTTTGGGGAATATTTGGCTTTTATTGGCGGCCCAGACATTAATGAGAGTTCTGCATCTTAAGTGTGAGGAGCTCTTTTCTGTGGCAAATGCTGAGAGGCCCGGGCCTGCCCACGCCTGGGACGAGCCCTCAGGACACAGTGTTTTCTCTGCAGATTGGTCACACTCTTAGATATTTTGAATCCTTAAGCAGAGGAGCTGTGGGAGCCCCATGTTTCCCTACTACAGAGCTCCAAAGGAGGCTTACTGGACCATGTTTTAAAAGCTGGTTCAGCCCTGGCCAGTTTGGCTCAGTGGATAGAGCATCGGCCTGTGGACTGAAGGGTCCTGGGTTCAATTCCAGTCAAGGGGACATGCCCAGGTTGCAGGCTCAATCCCCAGTGGGGACATGCAGGAGGCAGCTGATCAATGATTCTCTCTCATCATTGATGTTTCTATCTCTCCCTCCCTCTCCGTTTTTCTCTGAAATCAATAAAAATATAAAATAAAATTTAAAAAAGCAAAAAAACAAAACATAATGCAGGGGCACTTTCAGTCCATCCGAAACAGAGGCCCCTCCTAAATACCTGCAGGACTACATATGCGCTCATATACACGAGTGAGTGGCCTGCTTTATCGTTGGATTGAAGACATTGGATTGAACTTGAGAAATTAGACATAGACAGTAAATGACATTAGATGCTTAGAGTAGACATGAGAAAATACTCCTGATGATTAGGCATTGGAACCCTTGACAAGACTATACCATGCTCAGCCAGTGTGGCTCAGTGGTTGAGCGTCAGCATATGAACTACGAGGTGGTGGTTAGGTTCCCAGTCAGGGCACAGGCCCGGGTTGTGGGCTTGATCCCCAGTGGGGGGCGTGCAGGAGGCAGCAATCCATGAGTCTTTCTCATCATTGATGTTTCTCTCTCTCCCTCTCCCTTCCTTTCTGAAATCAATAAGAAAAAATATATAATTTTCAAAAGGACTATGCCATGAGTTCTTAAAGGAAAGACTCCCTATATTACTCATTTTTTTCATAAAGGATGGAGGGTTGGGCGGCGGGCGGATGGGTAGGTGAGTAAATGCGTGGAGGAATGTGGTGGACAGGAGAACAGTAAAACACCTGCGGCAGGAGGAGGGACAGCACGACCTGCTGGGTTTGTTTCCAGCCGCAGGGCTGCGGTATCTAGACCCCGAGAACAGGCTGTTACTCGGGTTTCTCAAAAGTGACTCCTTGCTGACCTGTGAATGGCTACCAAGGAGACAGTCTCTCCCTAGACCGGGAAGGAGGGACGGGGGTCGCACTGCCGGCCTGAGTCCCTGGGAAGCCACCGAGGGCCACCCTCCGCCCACCTCCGCGGGGTCCCTGGAGGGAGGGGTGGGCAGTCCTGTCCTTTTCGGAATCCCGGGGAGCGTGTCCCAGTCACAGGAGACTGAGTGGGGCCGTGCCATCGTGTACGTTCAGCCCACTGAAGGGCCAGGTAGGTCCTGGCAGCCACACCAGGTCGGAGGAGAGTGAACCTGTTCACCTCCAAGTGCCAGCAGAGAAAGGGGGCCCACGGGTGCTGCCGAGGCCGACCTCTGTCTCCTCCCTCTGTCTCTCTCTTCACTTTCCTATCCTTTCCCTGAAGTCCTTTTTGTTTGTTGGTTGGTTTTTGTATGTTGTGAATCCTCACCCGAGGATATTTTCCCATTGATTTTTAGAGAGAGGGAGGAAGGGAAGAGGAGAGACAGGGAGGAACATCCATGTGAGAGAGACACATCGATTGGTTGCCTTCCACACATCCCCAACCAGGGAGTGGGATCCAGCCGCATCCAAGGCATGTGCCCTCGACTGGATCGAACCTGGGACCCATCAGTCCGCAGACCGACGCTCTAGCCCAGGGGTCCTCAAACTTTTTAAACAGGGTGCCAGTTCACTGTCCCTCAGACCGTTGGAGGGCCGGACTATAGTTTAAAAAAAACCTATGAACAAATTCCTATGCACACTGCACATATCTTATTTAAAGTAAAAAAACAAAACGGGAACAAATACAATATTTGTATTTGCATGTGGCCCACGGGCCGTAGTGTGAGGACTCCTGCCTATCCACTGAGCTACACCGGCCAGGGCTAAAGTCCCTCTTTCAGGTTCCCTGGACGAGTGTCCTTATTCCTTCCCTTCCCACAGAAAGCCCTCCCATCTATGGCCCTGGATCTGACCAGACGCTCGCGGGGACTCCCTCTGGGTGCAGTGCTGGCTCAGGAGAGCAGCAGTGGGCCCCTCGTCTCCCACGGACAGCGAGGCTGAGGCCTCATTCCCCGAGAAACAAGCACATCTCCCCCCATGGTGAGCGCCAGTGTTTTTTGTCTTATTTTCCCAGAGCCCACACAGCCTGCTCTCATGGGAGGAGGTCCCCTTCTCCTCGTAGCTGGCCCTCGACCCTCCCCTTGGACCCTCCCCTTGTAAACACATTGCCGATGGCAGGGATGTGTCTGAGCATTCCTGACTCCCTGGGTTGGTATAGGAGTGAGGTGGCCCTTCACAGCTTACCACTCATGTGGTAATACCCAGCATGTCTTCTAGTCTCACTCGCGGGAGGTTGATAGTGCTATTCTCCCCAGACATAACTGGTAAAAGGCTGAGTCAAGCCTAGAACACAGGCCCCTGACCCTCTGCTTTCTCCACCTCACCTTTTTAAAACTTTATCTTTTCCCCTAGTGTTGAGTGTTTCCTTCTCACGTCCTGTGTGGTTCAGGGTTCAGGACCTGGAAGTGGAGCCCCACACAAATGAAAGAGAAGAGACAAGAGATAATTTGGGAATATTGGGGGGGCCAGGTGGGCAAGTCCAACTCAGGAGGAAGGACTTCCAACTGTGCTCAGGCCTCACCAAGCTTTTATTGATCTGGGATACCCCAATAGCATAGCCCTTAGGCAGGCATCTGGACAAACAGAGGTGGCCCCTAGCTCCAACCTTTGCTAGGGCTTCAAAGGCACCCAGCCTTCAGGGGGTTCTCTGTCTATGTTTATCAGATAGTGAAGACAATAAACTGTTTCCCACACCCTAGGAGCCACCATCGGTGCCAAGATGGCTGCTCCCCAGAAGCATGACAGGCACTGCCTCCTCCTGAGACAAGGCCGTGCAGAGTCCTGAGCTGCAGGCAGACACCCACACGGCACATCTGTGTGAGGGCAGAGGACTGGCCCGCAGTTTCCCAGCTCCGGCCTTGCTTGCATGAATCTGTAGGTAAATCACCAGATTTTTCTAAGTCTTTATTTTTTCATCAGCAAAATGTGGGGATTCCCATCCAAAGACTGCCTGAAGCTAAAAAAGCAAAACACAAAATGCGCGCGGCCAGAGTGGCTGGGCGGTCTGCGCATCATCTGTGCGCCCACAGCTGCTGGTTGGACCCCCTCTGGGTCGGGCACATGCCCGGGCGCAGCCAATCGATGTTTCTCTCTCACATCAATGTTCCTCTCTCTCTCTCCCTCTTTCTCTTTTTCTCTCTCCTTGCATGAGGATTCAAAAAAGAAGTTGAGCCCTAGCTGGTTCGGCTCAGTGGATAGAGAGTTGGCCTGTGGACTGAAGGTGTTGTATCGCAAATCAGTGATCTGGACAAGACGCCTAATGAGCCAATTACTTTATTGCCACAGGTTCAGAGCAGATTACCTCTGTCCAATTCTGAACAAACACAGGAGGGAGTATTTCCTTTTTTTTATCCTTCTAGTTCTTTGTGTAAGTTATTTTTGTAGACCACGTGTAACCTTGAGCACATATCTATACAGGCACCTGGCATCAGTATCAGCGTACCAGTTGGATGGCTAGCCTGCAAGGTCAGACATTAAGTTTATCTTTTCTATTCAAGCAAAAAACAAAATTATTTTACAGTCTGAGAACAACAGAGCTGACCTAGAGAATAAGAGACTAAGATAACGGAGGCATTCAAACAGCAGTTTTCCCAAAGGAGGGACCACTATGCTTCAAAGGGCCCGGGTTGGATTCCGGTCAAGGGCACATGCCGGTTGTGGGCTCGATCCCCAGTGTAGCGTGTGCAGGAGGCAGCCGATCAATGATTCTCTCTCATCATTGATGTTTCTATCTCTCTCTCTCTCCCTCTCCCTTCCTCTCTGAAATCAA